CTATGCATAGTTCCCATTAAAAAGCCTTTCCACAAAAAGCACAACTGAAAACAGAAAATAAGCAAATACAAATATTTTAATACAGTTTCATATTTGTCGTCCTTTGCTATCGACTTCATTTTAGTGATTTAAAAGAATATTTGCCTCACGTTTTCGTTCTCGCCATTTTTCGTTACTCATTGTAAATTTAACGATAAATTCGAATTCTCATTGTATTCAGCAAAGGATATCGCTGTCTCTTTTTCTTCTTTCTTCTTCTTCGTTCTTAATTCTAGTGTTGCAAAAAAATTCCCTCCAACACAATTACGTAATAAGTTTCAACTTATGCGCCATAAACGCGTTGACTACGATTTCAGCCTGCTTTTCTTTTTACAAGCTTTTATTTAACTTGCTTTATCTGTCTGCCTGTCGACAGTCCGTCTGTCGTCAGTATGTCTGGCTGTCTAGATCGAAACGCTCGAGCGAAATTTCTGGCACTTCTGACATATTCGTTTCAAAGTTGGCACGTGGTTCAAGACATAAAGACAATGCAATCTGACATTAAATTTGACTAAACTGGATGCCTAATTAATTTTTTATGATTTAATTAAAAATGTGTCCAAATTAGTAGGATGTCTTATCCAACTATTCCGCACTATTATACGCGCGTTATCATGTTAATTAGGTGCGCAAGGGTTTTTAGTCAGGCAACTAAATGCATTTCTTTAAATCTAATATATAAAGCTCAGTTCTGTATGTAATGCATTTGTATGTCGTTGGAATTGTACGATTTTAAGTGTTAGAAAAATTATCGTGCGCATTTGTCTAAATTTATGAGCTAAAAAATTACCATTGAAAGTGTTGGGAAATAATTTTCATTTTTTTAAATTATAGTAATAATTGTCGGCATGTTCATTAGACACAAGTTTTAAAAAATATATCATCTTTTACAAAAATTCTAATTATGTCTTTATTTAGTCCTATAGCACTTACTTCCCTTTGATAAATTAGGAAAAACACAATTACTTCCCTTTATAAAACCATTGCATTCCGTGAAAATAATTTACTTTTTAATTACTTTGTTTTGGTGTTGGGAAAAAAAATAATTACATAATTATCGGGGATTGATCAAGTGCAAATGTTGTAGGTATTTTACGGATAAGCTTGGAGTATTAAAATTGTTTATTAAATTGAAACAGGCGCGTTCGTTTAAGTGAGTGCAAAAGACTGTGAATAAGTTGGGGTACTATAGTCGTTCTTTAAGCTGAAACAGGTGATTCCGCCCCGGGCGTTTATGTTCGCGTTAGTGTTTTCTTTGTGTTTAGGTGGGTTTGCGTTAGTGGTTGCGTTTTAATTTGGTTCGTTTTTGTTCTTTCTTTTTTCGTTTTTGTTTGTGTTTTTTTTTTTTGTTTGGGTTTGTATTTGTGTTTTTGGTTGGTTTTGCGTTTGGATTTGGTTTGTTTTCGTTTGCTTTTTTCGTTGATTTTTTTTTGTTGGTATTGGTGTTTGTGGGTGTGGTTGTGTTTGTTGTTAAGTTTTTGTTTTCGTTTGTATTTGTAATTGTGTTAGCGTTATGTTTGCGTTTTGTTGTTTTTGGTTGGTTGTGGTTTGGGTGGGCAATGCCGGGTTTATGATGATTACTAAACACACAGGTAATGGTCTTTAACAGAAAGGTTTTTCACAGAAGCCAGAGCAGGGCCTGGCCGGGACGGCTAGTATATTATAATACTCTACTATTTAGATAACTATAAAGAAAAGCGTGGGTCCCTTTATAATTATTAGCAAAAGTATCCAATAGGCAATATAGTGACCGACTCGTTTCTTTATAGTTGTTTTAATAGTAGAGTATTATAATGTATTTAAATAAACTCATTTATTTTCTACTTTTAGTGCATTATTTCATAAAAGCTTGTTTTTAAAACGTTTTCTATTAATTTTTTTTATATTATTTCCTCAACCTTTGTACAACCAAAAACAAACTCTAAGGCAGTAGATTTTTTAAGTTGTCTCTCCTTGAAGAGTGGCTGTTCCCAGCTATTGAGCGTCGTCTGTCCGGGGTGGCGCAGTAAATTAATAGTATGGTGTCTGTTTTAAAGATCAAAATAATTTCTTAACTTTCTGATCCCAAGGGTAAATCGGAGGGGGGTAGGGAACAGTTGAACAATTTGTTAAACGTGTGATCTATTCAATTATCAACCTATCGTATCAAAAAGTTTTAACGTCGTATTATCATGAACATAATAATCTCGTTAAATTCGTGTATATAATACATTTGTATTTAAAAAATGACAATTTTTAAAGACGCATAAAGCAATACAATCGGTGACATTTTACAACACCCAGTTAGCTGCATAAAGAAATATATATAATTACTTATATTTCTATTAACAATTGTTTTCCAGTATTAATGTCTTCTTTATTTTGTGACAAAGTTAGTAGACCGTAGTCATAATTACGTGGTTTAAATAGAGGCTTTTAAGATTCGTCGTTGGCGGCTGTAATCAAGCGGAGAACGTTTCCTGTTATTATTGTCCATACACAGCTTAAACTAGTATCACGCTGAGATAAATAATGTATATTTTAGAGAATGACATACATGAAATATTTTAAAATGATTTAAAAGAAAAAGTTAAAAAAAGTTTTAATATTTATCCTGCAGATGATAATGCATTGGTGGAGTGTGTATTGGTGTTATAGAATGATTGATTACTTCTCATAAACAAGTTTTAAATATAATTTTTCAGCATTAAATGATTCCAGCTGACAAGAAATAGTTCTTAAAATAATAAATACCAAAACGTAATATCATATTTTTAACACGTTTCTTTAGAATACCAGCCCTTGAGCATATGTGAAAAGTGGTTTTGTTTTCATCTAAGCAGGAGTGCAAGTATAGAAAACCGACCACAGCATTCCACAACACACATACCTATTCCGCCACCCCCTTTCTAAACACCTTCATCTCCCTCTCACCGCTTCACAGGCTATGTATATCGCCAAAAGATCAACAATCCTCAAGTCGTCTCTAACAAAAGAACGTTTTTTATTCAACTTGATGCACAGTGAAATGGATTGTTATGTGTGTGTGTGTGGGGGGGGGGGGGGGTATATGTTTACCTGGATCCGATTGTCAATCCTATTCACACATACGTTTTTATCTGAATGACTTTACTGTATCAGCCCTATGGAATTATATCTGTACGAGATAAATGGCCCGTTGAGGGAGAGATACAACGGGCGCTATGTAGATAGTGTTCTCTTTTTTCTCTAAATCAAAATCAAAAAGAAAATCACCGCCTCAAATTCAAATTTAACAGGAAACAAAAAATGTCATTGAAAATGGATTTTTGTCCAGAATCGGCATTTTTACTGAATTTAAGCTTGATCTACACGTAGTTACTGCATAGTGATACTAAACATAGTCGAAGTCATCCCCCTAAACCTTGCACCTAAGCTCAAACGTGACATAAGTCTGTCTGTCTGTCTTTCTGTCTGTCTCTCAGTCATTCTGTCTGTCTGTCGGTCGGTCGGTCGGGCGGTCGGTAGGTCGAATACTCGGTAGCCGATTTTTGCCTTTTCTTACTTTTAATAATTAATTCAATGGAAAGTAATATATTAATTTTGTCAGTCAGTCATTTTTTGTAACAGACAACACTATAAAAGTATGTTTTTTGAATTTTTAAAATTGAGTTTGGTGAAATAACATTACAATTTTCGGCTGAATTTAATAGTATTTCACCATACAAACTTTCGAACTTAGGAAACAAAATATTCATCGAGTGTTTTTTTGTTACACAAACTAGCCAGCTGACTATTCGAGTGAGTAAATCAAGGATTATTTCATCAATATATATGATAGTAAGATCCGTGTGATCTCCATAAAAGGTAGTTTTTTTCAACATGGCCGCAATAACCATAGCAACCATATTCTCAGAAGTACCTGATTCATGAACGTATTTTCCAATAAGTATCATAGCTTAGATACGCACACATATATAACAAAGTCTTATTAATTAAGAAGTTTTTTCATCGTTTTTTTCACCCGAGCCTAAAGTAACTGAACGTGAGTTGAATCTCTTCCGCCTATCTCCACCACTCTACACTGAGCCGACACCTCCACCAGCAAGTGAACCGTAAGTTCATGTCAGCTGATTTTCAAGATAAATACTTTTTCAAGGCCATTGTTTTTTTTTTTAATTTTCCGTTACTGATGAATATATACAATGTATGAATACATTTTTCTTATTTTTTTAAACACATAATAAAAACTACTGGGTGGCATTTTGGGAACATCTACAGAGCAGATTAAATACGTATATAGATGTAGCTTTGTATAGCAATAATTATGATCATTGTAATTATCTACGTAATTAGATAGCGGAAGTGGAGCTAAAGCAAAGTCACAAATTTAAGCGTCACCGAATTCAACCTCTGGCATAAATTTGTCTTAAAATTAGTATTAACATTCTGTTAACCGGAAGAAAATCTAGTTATTTTACATGTAATACGTATGATTTTTATCTTAATAGTAGCTGGATAATCCATTATTGTATTCAGACAAAAAACTTTTTCAATCATCATGTTAAAAAAATGGAGGGATTAAAATAGACAAGAAATATTATATTAGTAAATATAATTATCTTTAATAATGTGTAGAGATTTAATAAATGTAAAGATAAAGTTAACCATTGAGCAATTTAATGATGTGTTAAAATTTGATTTGAAGGGGAGACTACAATGTTATTTGAAATAAAATGCGCCCGATTATTTTTTCCCTTCTATCGTACTTTGCGTTTTAAATTTGTTATTGTGAAAAGTTCAAATACTAAACAAAAACAATTATATGTGTATATATAGTTATATATATATATATATATATATATATATATATATATATATATATATATATATATATATATATATATATATATATATATATATATATATATAATGTATCTGTATATAAATACAATAATAGTAAAAACAGACTACCAACTGAAAAAAAAAACATGCATTGCAAAACCAGCTTTTATTATTAAAAAGAAATACTTATACTATCACAATATTATCACAAATCACCTCTAAATAAACATAAATAATTTAATACAAGTTGAATAGCATAATATATTCAAACAAAAATTGGTTTCTGAATAAACTTGTCAATTTGAATGTAGCTTTGGAATATAGTGTTTTGTAACAGCTTATGTGAATGTATATGCACATGTTCGTATATGCGTGTGTACATGTATGTTTATTTAGCGTGTGCGATGTCATGTGTCAATCTTGAATAATATGCTATACATGTAAATAAATGATGTAAATAAACACTCTAGGCTAAATAATTGTTTTTAATTTATATTTTAACAGCTTGCAATTATCAAGGTTACCCATCGCATACATAATTTCTCGTATTTAGTTATTTAATTTTAATTGTGTTCTGAACATACAGGACTCAAATACTTATGTCGTTTCCAATATAGTTTCCAAAAAAGGGCATACTTGTTTTCTTTAAAATTATTATTTAATTGAGAATATGTATTTACAAAAAATCACACTCAATGAAAGCTCAAAGTAATTATTTTTTTAGAAAACAAGCGCATTCATGCATGCAATGGCGACCAGGAAAACACAGCTAATTAAAACAGCAGTTCCAGCTGCAAAATGAGAAATGATATGATATGATATATATATATATAAATATATATATATATATATATATATATATATATATATATATATATATATATATATATGTCATATATATATATATATATATATGTCATATATATATATATATATATATATATATATATATATATATATATATATATATATATATATATATTGTGGAAATGTATTCTAAATCCCCTTTTCCATTTTTTATAATTTGGTTAAAAATCCAAAATTATACTTAAACACATTTACAAACTCTACCTGTACAGTCTTCGCCTTTAAGCTTGTAATGAGACGCACACTGGCAAATTTTAGCTGTCATTGTTGTAATACATTTTCCCGTGTACTTGGTGCCTGGGCAGTCAGTTTTGTTTGTACATCGTTTGCCTGCCGCTGATCAAAATGTACAGGCATGTATTTATGTATATATATATATATATATATATATATATATATATATATATATATATATATATATATATATATATATATATATATATATATATATATATATGCTTGTATTGGAAATAGTACTAACCTACAATGGTTACATTTAGCGCATCGCTAATGCTTGTTGCTCTGTTATATGTTGATGTGCATGTGTAGAAGCCATTATGACTGGCTGCATTAGCCTCAGTTATTACATAAACGTTTGTGAAGTTCGTAGTTAAAGAACTATTTCTGAAATCAGAAATGGTTTATAAACTATAATAGTGTGAACGCTTTAAGGAATTTTAGTAAAAAATTATAGGTTGCAGGGAAGTCTCTCACTTACTATTCGGAATCTCGTTAGCCAGGTAAAGATATGAATTTTCGAACGAAATTAATTTCTTTGATCAAGATGCCCATTGATAACACACAAAAAAACAAAAACTTGACGGTTTCAAGATTTTAAAATACCAAGAGCACCCACAACGCAACAATTATTAACATTTTACTTATAATATAATCAAATTAAGTTTAGAACAACTTGTTATGGATTCAAATAAATAATAACAAACTGCAAACATCTTTAAAAAATTCCAATTTACATAGGGTATATATTTTTCTTAAGCTAGCCCTCAACTTGTAATCTACCATTATCACGGTTTACGATTCTAAATAATTTAATTAAAAATAGCGGCCATACCTTTTCTATATATTTTTAACCGATTTAAGAAAAACTATTATATTCACATATGGTTTGAAACATACGAGCCCTTTTAACAACTCATGCATTATTTTAATTAAGGATTACCGCTTCCACGAGAAGGACCAACCAGTTGTTACGTTTAAGCCAGTATTACACTTTAGAACGTAGTCACCGCCTTCACCATAAAAAGTACCCTCAGGCTCACGGGTGATTGCTGGTTTCATTACTAATAAAAAAAAAATCACGATTTAGTATATTTATAAATGTTTTTGCTAATATTACTATAAAAAGCCTGTTATAATAATGACGAAGAAAACACAATTAGGAATATGTAATGATCCGTATAGAATGATCTTTGTGTTAAATACTATTGACTATTTAATTGAAAGAAAATTTACGTAACGTTTTTCTTCTAGTGGAATTACACACACAAAAATTAAGTCTCGCAAAAAAAGGGATTATTGTACACGATACCAATGACGTTTGCATGACGTGCATACAGAAAAGTAATACAATTTTTGAAAAATGAATTTTTCGCATGTGAACTGCATAATCAATGTATAATGACTAATGATTTTAACTATTGCAGAAAACAGGCATTAAAAAAACAATTTGTGTTAGACAACTATAAACCTACCAGCGTGAAATGACGCTTCTGCCGTCGTGTACCGACTCTTTACAGCCCGACACTTGTACACTCCGATATCAGCCTCAGTGAAGTTGTAGAGATGGATTGTCTTGTTGTTTTGGCCCTCTATTGTGTTGTCGTTGAATGACCAATGATATAAATCCGCGACGTACAACTCACCACCGCAAGACAAAATCACAGCAACTCCTAATATTAGATCTCCAGTACTTTCTTTGACTACAGAAGGCATTGTAATAAAGTTGTTACCTGAAAAAAGTAACTCATTTTGAAAAAAAGTACGTACATGTTATAAGTAATTACAGCACTACTTAATTTTTAAACGTATAAACACATTAACATAATTCAATTGATTGCAAGTCGAAATACGGAAAGGCTAGTGGCAACTATTGTTTATTTTTTTATAGGTTGCTATATAATTTCAAAATGCATAAACAGATTAAAATATTTCAACTGAATACATGTCGAAATCCAGACATGCCAATGACAACTATTTTTTTTTCTAAGCTATTGGTTACTTCATAATTTTATAACCGAATAAATCCGCAATTGTAGAATACATTTTATACACACTTACTGACAGATATTGTTGGACTGGTCGATGAAAATGTAGATGTTCCATCGTAAGTAACACTACAATTGTATGTTGTATTACTTAATGCAAACATATTTATGCTGAAGGTGTTTGAAGTTCCTTTTTGTATTGATTTTATACCGTCCTGTAAATAAAGTAAATCTATTTATCCATTAAAATTTTTAACGAATGGAAATTTGTACTTCCATTGTAATTGAATTTCAACAATAAATTATTTTTAACAAAGCTAAGTGGTAAACTTGATTTTGTCGATTTCTGTTTTATGTTTTACTAACCGAAATATGCCAATATAATGTTATGGGCGTTCAGTGAATAAAAAATACCCCACGTATTTAATAACACTAACGATGAAACTGTTGTATATACTATGTTACCAGTGGCACTTACCCACAAAAATAAAAGTTAAGATACAACATCAAAATAGTTACGTGGCCTCTCAAAGATTAGAAAATGTATGGTATGTGATAAAATAAAAAAAAAAACTAACTTCTTCCTACTGAAGATACAAACTTGCATTCAAAATCGTTTTCTGATATCACTTTTAAAACATGTAATGATATAATATTGATTTGTTTACGTTTTATATAATCAGACAGTACTAAATAATTACATTTCTAAAAAAAAAATGCCATATTATGTTAAATTTTTAATCGGTCTTTACCAATTAAATTTTTTGAAATAATATATTTTATAGAATTTAAAGTACAAACTGAAAAATCATATTCCACAGCTTTTGCACCGCTTAGGAATGCCAGCACTGGAATAGTTATACAGGTAAGTGTTGGACCGTCCGCTCCAATATTGTAAGTTGTGTCTGTAGTTATTAGACCGGTTAGATCATCCACGACAAGTGAAGCAGCTGTTCAAAAAAATAAAACATAACTACGTTTTGTAAACATTAACAAATATAAACGAATATTTGTTTTACATGATAAAAATAAGTTAACAGCGAAATGTATAATATGTAGTCAATTTAAGCGATTTACTATATAGTTTCTCACTTAAATTCAATAAAAAAAAGGCATTATTTTTTAACTTAAAAATCGAGGGACAGGTAATAAAATGAAGTAGCCTATATTTTGTTACTCAGCGTAATGTACACAATTGAAATCTAAATTAACAAGAGTATAATAATCAACCTCGCAAAGAAACGATGAAAGGTGAACAAATACATTTTATACAAACAAAATGTGTTAGTTTTAAAAGAAGACGGTAATAAACTGTGGATTGGGAATAAGTTGGTTCATGGTGTATAGGCTACTTTTTAATCTGTTATAGTGTCTAGTGAATTGTTTGAAATTATCACGTTTTCTCGTACGTAAGGTGTTTAATTGTCGTAGCAGTATTTAAACTAACATGAAACTTTAACTGCTACCATATTTCAGAGTGTTTTGAAGAAAAAAGCGTGGTTATGTTATATCTTATTGAATAGATAGCTGACCTACCTACGACGGTTATACTTAGGTCATCGCTTGCTCTTGTTACCCCGTTGTAGGATGAGGTGCATGCGTAGACCCCGTCATATTCATCAGCAGTCGCATTCTCAAGTGTGTATGAATCAGATACACTTATTGTCAAGTTGCCATCTCTAGTTTTATTTTAAAAATTGTATTGAGATTGGTTTTATGATATTATCATTTCTTTGAAATAATTGATTAAACACACGTATCATTAACAGAAACAGAAAGAACACGATTTCAAGCTAACAAAAGTCATTTTCATTTGTTGAACAAAATAGTCCATCTATTCATTACCTAGAACATAAAGGTAATATTCATCGAATGTAAAATTCAGTGAAGTTCTATGTATATAATTTTTATTTCATGACATACTTTAATCAATAACGTTAGTATTTATTAATTTGACGCTCTTCTATCTTACTTTGTCCACGAGAAGTCCCAACCAGTTGTAAAACTTGAACCAGAATTACACCTTAGAATGTAGTCACCGCCAGCACCATAGAAAGTTCCAGAGGGCTCACGGGTGATTGTGGGTTTCATAACTGTTGGCAATTAAATAACGTGTGTTACCTATTTATTAGTTTTGAGGTTTATACAAGGGCTTGGGACTGTCAGTCTGGAGCAGACCTGACATTAAACCAGTTGATTCAATAAAACGGAAGAAAAAAAAACAACTTGGAGTATGTTGCGACTTACTTTCATTCGACTCAACAAAGTTTACACTATTAAAATAGTTTTTTTCAGCCCATGTTTATCCACAACTAACCCAACTCTATGCCAGCCCCTACTAAAAAGGCCCCAACCACCCAACCCCCACCCCCATACTATCGCTCACTCCAGCTTTTATACCTGTACTCGACCTTGGGGTAACAATACATAAACACCCCAGGGTTAACTAAACTCACACCCGCACTCTCCCTTAAGTTCTAGACTATTCTTACATATTTTAACCTAACGGGTTTAGTGTAACATAGAGAAAAATTAACTATAAACACAAACTAAAAGTGGAATTATGTTGTACGATTCCTCGACTATCTAATCCAACAGTTTGCATATCGAGTGTACATAGACTTATTTAAATTAAATATAAGTTACAAGGGATTTCATTCTGCCAAGTAAAAAATCACCCATCTAACTTTCTGATATATTTTCGGGCGATATAATAAATCAGATAAATAAATCAAAGTTTAATGATTGTAAAGTATTATAAGGCTTTACATAAGCTGACACTTCAGGTTACAAAAAGAATGCAATATAAGACAGAAAAACCTACGAGCAACTAAAGATGTATTCGCCGTCGTGTACCGACTCTTCACAGCCCGACATGTATACTCTCCAATGTCATCCTCTGTAAAGTTGTCGTGTCGCAATATCTTACTGCTCTGGTCGAGGATAGGATTGTCTTGGAAGTACCATACATAGTAGTCTCCATCAACAGTAGTATTACCACACGACAAAAGAAGTGGAATTCCAATTGTAAAATCATCCGCACTTTCTTTGAATAGAGTTGGATCAGGAACATAGTTGTCGCCTGAAAAAGGAAAAGTAGCATATTGTTCGAGTTACTTTGAAAACAAAAAAAAACAACGCATCATCAATGCAATAGCTATTTCAGGATGTCGCAATTTGGTAATCATGCATGAGGAAGATCATCATAATCGTTTCCGGTTCTCGTCCAAAACACATGGGGCAGATGAAGTAGAGTTAATATATTATCAAAATCACAACATACAAGGTGATAGTGTGGTAGTCAAATGCCCTCAGAGCTGGGTGGAAAAACGGACATCCCACAGGCTTGGGCCGGGATCCGAACTCTACTTTAGAGTTAGTACTCTTAGGCTTGAGGAAGATACATCAAATCTCAACGTGTATAATTTCAAGTCTCATTCGGGAATCCACATTTTTATTTTAAAAATTAATAAAAAAAGTTCATTTGATGGTTAAAGTAATATAAAACATAATTTTAAAGAACTATAGCGTTGTTTCTTTTCAACTTTAAAATTTGATAAAACTGTTTATTCCGTTGATTATTTTTATTCATCAGTTTATGCAAAACCTTACTGATTTCGATATTATAAGTTGGCGGCGAAAATGTTGTTGATCCGTCAAAAGTAATACTACAGTTATAAGATGCACTGCTCAGAACAAATATATTCAGTGTGTAGGTGTTTGAGGGTCCAGTTTGTATTATTTCTGTGCCATCCTGTAAAATGAATGTTGCTTTCAGGGACGAATTGTTAAGTTCAAAGTTTTAATTAATAAAACCAAATTCAGAAGATTAATAATTTATAAAGCAATATATATATATATATATATATATATATATATATATATATATATATATATATATATATATATACTTTTTAAACAAAATTAATGAGAACTATGTCAGCATCGTTGGGCGAATGATAGTCTGTTGTATATGAAAAGAAATAGTGTGCTCTATATTGTAATACCGACACTAATTACCTTATTCATTTTATTTCTATTTTAGAGTAAAGTTACAAAGTGTGTACTAAGGATTTTTTAAATAAAAATAACCCACAATAAATAAAATAGAAAGCACATACAGAGAATTCATATACTGGAGGAATTTTAATGTCGTAATCAGCAAGTTCTTCTGTTGTCGTGCAGGTGAGTGTTGGACCATCTGACCCAGCGTTGTACACTGTGTCTGTTGTTACTGGACCTGTTGTGTCTGTTACCTCTACGATAGCAGCTGAGCACAAAATAATTATGTCATAGTGCAAATAAATGTTTATGAACTTTCACAAGCTCTTGAATAATACGCGTAAAAATAAAAATATGTATACTTGCAATGAAGCTGAAATATAATTTACGTACTAGAGCAGGGGTCTCCAAACTACGGCCCGCGGGCCGAATGCGGCCCGCTAGGTCATTTCATCCGGCCCGCGGCGATCTTTTTGTCCACTGAATAAATGTTATTAGAGGTGACTGAGTAACTTTGCACAGAAAATTCAAAACAATTTGAAAATATAGCTTTGGGTGCAAATACCATTGCCCGCCGTGTTGCAGACATTGGTGAAAACATCATGACTCAAATAGCGAAATATGCAAGCAAGCTTCGCCATTTTTCAATTGCAATGGATGAGTCGCTGGACAGTTGTTCCACTTCAACTTCTTGTGTTCATTAGAGTGGGTATAGAAATTGGCCTCTGCTGCAGACATAACTAGTCAATTAAATTTTCTGAACCTAAAACGGCAAGAGAGGGAAATCTAGTATCTTAGGGGAGGGGGGTGGACACTTGAAATTTGCAAATATTTCTATATTAATTATATTTCGTGGGAGGGGGGGGGGGGCCTCCCCATAGATGTCTTAAAGAAACTCTGGCCCCCGAACTAATATTTCATTGTTAATGCGGCCCTCGGACTGAAAAGTTTGGAGACCCCTGTACTAGAGTATGCTTTGGCCTATTTATTGTAATTATATTTTTACAATACAATTTTAAATTACTTTTAATATTTTGGTTCTGACGTAATGAAACTTAAAGAAGAATCTGCTAGAATTTTAAATAAAATTCATTACCTTGTGTGTATTAAACACACACACACATACACACACACACATACACACATAAACACATACCATTTAAACAAATTATCTTCATATGTTAAAGTATTATATGGACTTTTTATCAATACGGAATGATTTAAGTTCATTGTAATATTCAGAAGCGTGTGTGTTATTGTGCTTGGTGCATTAAACTAACCTACGATAGTTATATTTAGCCCATTGCTGGTACTGGATACCCCGTTATATGAGGATGTGCATGTGTAGACGCCATTGTTTGTAGCTGCGGTTGAATTTTCTAGAAAGTAGGAATCTGATTGCAATGATGTGTTTTCACCATCTCTGTTAAATAAAATTAAAAAAAAAAAAATGGTAATGTAGGCATATATTCTTTTGATCTTTCTGATTCAAACATCTTTAGAAAAAAAAATTTAAATTTAAAATAAAACATTTTAATTTCGATAAATGAAATATATTTTTATATCCTATCAAGCTGATTGATGTTCTGAGTGTATTCTTCTGTAGTATCTTACTTTGCCCACAAGTAGGTCCACCCCACCGATTCATTTGAGCCAGAATTACAAAGGAGATTGTAGTCACATCCTGCACCGTAGAATATTCCAGAAGGCTCACGGGTTATAGTGGGTTTCATAACTGTTGAAATATAACAATTGACTTAAAATACATTACGTAACTGTACTGATTTGCTTAAAAACAAAAATGGACATCATTAGTAACATGGTCTCAAGCCATATGTTGCGATTTAGCATCTAAAACTATTTCTACAAGTAATATAGACAGAAAAACTTATTTTTTAAAAAACATAAATTAAAATGTAGATTTTAAAATATTCGTACAGTCAAATAGTATTTATTTTTTTAAATTGGCAAACTCACTAGCAACAAATGACGCTTCTGCCGTAATGTAACGACTCTTTATAACACGACATTTGTACACTCCGATATCATCCAATGAGAAATTGTCCACCCGGAATGTCTGGCTCTGTTGATATTGGGGTACTTTGTCCTTTATTGTCCATTGGAAAATGTCAGCTTCAGTTGTTTCATCGCCACATGATAAAACAAGGGTAGATTCTATAGATAACTCGTCTGGATTTTGTTTATATATGACAGGGTCGGAAATGTAACTGTTACCTAAAATGTAGAACACAATTGACATGCATGAATTTTAAAGCAACTTCGCATGAAACATCTTTAGTTTTATAGTGGAATTATGTTTATTGCCTTGAAAATAGAAAAATAAAAAATAAAAAAAAAGTAAAAAAAAAAAGATATAGGTCTAGTTGTCTGTTTTGTTTTAATTGTATTACTTCTTGTAGTGTATTTATTTATATCATGTTTGAATTTTAGTACTCGGAATTTTAAATCCTCTTACACGCAAAACAAAATTTATGTTTTTCTTACAATCAGAAAATGTCATCATCGCTTACTTCTTTTAAATATATATTTTTTTACAAATAGCAATTATTCAACATAGTACCATTTTTTATTCTTTAGAAAATCACCGAATATATAATACAATAGATCGTAATTGTTTTGCAGGCTTTTGTCATCGTATCTTTTATTATTTTTTATTTAACTGGTTACAATAAAAAAAACTTACTAAACGCGACAGTACTGCTTGGTAATGAATATGTTGTGGTCCCATCATATGTAACACTACAATTATATGTTGCACTATTTTCTGAACCGGAATAAATGGTGTAAGTGTTTAAAGGACCTTCTTGCACGGATGCTACACCATTCTGAAAATTAAAAAAAAAGAACAGCATTTGTAAATTTAAATATTATCCTACCATTTTTAAAACACATATTTCTATATAAATGCACAGTGACACAGTAAATAATACTATGTAGTCATTAAAAAAATATTGCTCATACATTCGATAGCTGCTAATCAAACTTTGTAACGATAATCAGAACCAACGTCATATTTAATTGAAAAATTACAATACACTGACAAACTCTTTAAAACAGTATACATTGATCACCATGTATGCATGTTGTTTTTGTAATTGTCTATGCAAAAAAATCTAGCATTTTGTTTTGTTATCGTTTACAAATTATTAATTCATTCTTCTTTATCTTCGGTAAAAACAATGATAAAAATGAATAATAAACAAAATAATATAGCTAAAAATGGCATTAAGTAAACATACCCAAAAATCGTATCTCAGATGTTTTGAGCTATCAACATTTTCCAGTTCTGGGGTTGTCGTGCAGGTGAGATTTGGACCATCTGCTCCAACGTTATAGGTTGTGTCTGTAGTTATTTCACCAACAGAGTCTCTGGCTATTAGTGTGGCAGCTGTTATATAATATAATTAGCATCCTCGTAAAAAAATCTGTATTTCATTACAAATTAAGCATTTTTTATTATAATTTATTTATGAAAGTATAAATACAAATACATCATCTCGTAATTAACACCTAAACCAAAATTTAATTTCAAGACTGAAACTTGTCTTACTAAGGCTCTTGAGTTCAGGAAAAACCATTACAAAAAACATTGAAAAGATCAAGCCTTTGAGAAACCCTTATTCATAATATCATACTCCTATTACTCAGGTCGTCTAAAATTGACTTAAAAGTAAAAGGCTTTAAAGGCTGTTAATTTGTTTTACATTTTCCGTTTCAGAAAATTAACGCATTAAATATTGTAAATGTACATATAATATATTATATTTATTATAATTATATATATATATATATATATATATATATATATATATATATATATATATATATATATATATATATATATATTTATTTATTTATTTATTTATTTATTTATATATATGTGTGTGTGTGTATATGTATACATATAAAATGTGGAATTAACTTACCAATTATAGTTATAGTTAGGTTATTGCTCGTGCTAGATACACCATTGTAGATTGAGCTGCAGCTGTAGTTGCCGTCATGTGTGGCTGCAGTTGCATTGGTAATTGTGTAGGAATCCGCAGTGGTGCCGGCGTCAACGTTTCCACTTCTGACCATGAACAAAATTTGCAATTCTTTATTTCAACCACCGTGTCATAAGCATTGCAATCATGTTCATTGCGTTATGCTAAGCTTAAGGTGTTTATTCACAATGATACACCAAATAGGCAAGTACTTAGGGTGTCATCCATAAAAAACGTTACACTTTTTGTGAAATTTTTACCTACCCCTACATAACGTCACATTTCGTAACAAACAACAAGACCGCCTATCATAAACTGACGTCTACAACATCCTCCCCCCCCCGCCTTCGATATTACAATTAATTTTAATTAACATTTATTAATTATTAACGTATTGACGTAAAATCGGATACACCTGAGGACAGATGGAGAGACTAGCTTGGAACATACATGCCTTGAAACTTCTTGCCAGCGGCCTATGCATTGTCGGGAGCGACTGGCTAATATATAATTGATCAATAATTTTCTATTACAATTTACAAACACAGTTTTCTCGTAAACGCGAAATTTATGTTAAAACTCAGTTTCTGACATCACTATTTTAAAATGCAGAAGGGTGACGTCAACCTATCCAAGCACCCACTGCCCATCATCACACATCACAAAAAATACTAATCCCCCCACTCCCCAAAAAGTGTGACGTAATATATGACCAACAAAACACATGACAAAGCAGTAGATGTTCTCACTTGGTCCATGTGTACGTCCACCCTTCTGTAGCACTCGAGCCAGAGTTACATCTGAGAACGTAGTCACCGCCTGCACCATAGAAAGTTCCAGAAGTCTCTCGAGTTATCGTAGGTTTCATAACTGTCAATAAAAATGGTATTATTTATTACATGTTTTTATTGTAGTGTAATTCGTCTATGGATAGCTTGGTTTTGCTCTAGAACACGAGCGAACTAACTAGAAAGTCAACGTCCGGTTATAATCTCTAAGCCTTTAAATAATCACCAAATCGAATAGATCATATATCGAAATGACGTATACTGATACAATAAGAAGGTAAAATACTAGTGACAGCATACGAGGCTAATAGCTTAATAGAATCATATGAGAACATAGTGGCTTCTTCCTCGATTTTCGGTCGTACGCAATTGAAAGCATTTTTACCAGTTAGTTAAGTTCGAATAAAAGTACACGTGAAAAATATAAGAACGAAAAAATTAGATTTTATTCATGATTTCTGAATACAGCTTTGAACAAAATTAACTCTTTCAATCTCTAAGGGTAAGTATAATTGTTTTAAGATCGACCTTTGTTAAAACTACTTTGAAATATGTTTTAATATTTCAAATATTAATTTGAATTAGAACTGAAAAAATCGTTTTATTATAAGTAAACATAAGACTGCATATCTCTTTCCCTAAGATTATATTCGATATTATTAGTGTGAGTCAGATGTTATGGCTTACGTTTGTTGAAGACAATATCATACACTAATTAAATAAACATTGTTTTTATACACAAGGAAAAATTATGATAGACACATCAACTTACTAGCAACAAAAGACGCATTTGCTGTTGTGTACTGACTCTTCACAGCCCGACATTTGTACATCCCGATATTATCCTCTGTAAAATTTTCTAGTTCGAGTATCTTACTGCTCTGGTCAGAAATATATAACTCCTGAAAGTACCATAGGTAGATGTCTGCAGCAATCGTGTTATCGCCGCATGATAAAACAAGGGCAGATCCAATCGTTACATCGTCATCACTTTCTTTGATGATAGTTGGGTCGGATACATAGTTATTGCCTAGAAGTGGAAATTGAGTGTATGATTTAAAAATTTCCCTGCTCTCTCTTCTACTTTAAATCAATCCTGTCTTATGTACATTTTAAGTGAAATTAATTATAATTAAAATAAACATATGTTTAAAAATAATTATTTAAAAAAGATTGTTAATTGAAACTCTCGATCATTGCGGGCCATGGGTTAGCCGAACTGAAGTACACAAGTTTCAGTTACCAAAGGATATACAAGAATATTCAGCACCGTAACCAACAGCCTCTACCCAGTCCATATTCATCAAAGTTGAGTTAAGAACTTTTTGCAAACTCGAGATACGAAGTAGAGACTTATGAGCTGTTGTGTACTTTACCGTACGGGCAAGTCGTCCGATATATTTCAATAATAGTGAGTATAGTTATATTTTTTTCTTCTTCTTTTTTAAATTAGTTGTTCATTAATGCACACACTTACTAAATGTTATGGTGGAACTCCGTGACGAGTATGTTGTCGACCCGTCAAATTCAACACTACAGTTGTAAGTTGCACTGCTTACAACAGAGGAATCCAATACGCTGGTGTTTGAGCGTCCGGTTTGTATTGTCTTTGTGCCATCCTTTATAGAATACTTGATGTATTAATCATCCTACATATGTAATGTAAAGTTCCCTTTCTAAGCTTAGGGTCCGTGGGGCAAGTCGAGTTTGAATGTTTCTATGAACTGGGATAGTGTGGTCAACTGTGCCCAGGCGCCTTTACTTTAAAAAAAAAACGTGATTTAGGTACCAATAAGAAATTGATGGATTCAGCGAGGCTCTACTAGCTTAAAACCGGACTCGAACTCTAGAATTTCGGGTAAGTACTCGTATGCTCTACCATTCGACCACGTCGTCCCCTTCTATGTATGTACTTAGAAAATTTTAAAAAATATATAAAAAAAACGAATTAATTAATTAAATGCAAAGCTGTATAAGTGTAACGTGCCAGATAAATTGTAACTATTGCTTTATTGCTATTTAATATAAATATGGAATAAGAATAGTTCATATCTATGATAAATTAGTATAATAAAGCAAACATAATTTTTAACGGTAAACATAACAAATGATATTTTTAAGTTTAATATAATATGTCATTAAACACATTTAAGTAACTTTTAATTCATTTCAAGAAAAAGCTTAAAATATTTTACAAATCAGAACATTCAATTCAAACTAAAGATCACATACGGAGAATTCATAAACTGGAGGAATTTCAATGTTGAAATCAGCAAGAACGTGTGTTGTCGTGCAGGTGAGTGTTGGACCATCTGATCCAACGTTGTACACTGTGTCTGTTGTTACTGGACCAGTTGAGTCTGTTACCACCAGGATGGCCTCTGATCAAATATCATTGCAATAATATTGTAAATTGTTAATGCATTCACTAGAGTAGGTAATCTAGATATATGGGAATGTAAATGTATATCATCCAATATATTTCAATATATATATATATATATATATATATATATATATATATATATATATATATATATATATATATATATATATATATATATATATATATACATATATATATTTATATATATAACTATGTATATATAGATATGTGTAATATGTATATATATATATATATATATATATATATATATATATATATATATATATATATATATATATATATATATATATATATATATATATATATATATATATATAAAGCAAAGTGGTCGCAGGCGCGTCAAATTTGGCACGATGGTGCCTTCGGGCGATAGAACACGAAGGCCGGTGACGGTTGGCCAAAAAGTGTACGGGGAGGGGGTCAAAACTGACCTCGACTGACCGGCGCCTTATATGGGCTATATTACGAAAAAAAAATTCCTCCGACGACCCCCCTTGAAATTTTGTGAGGTGGTAGGAGAAAGCCTTGGGGCGTCACAAAAAACTCGCCATGTCCGGGAAAAATCGGGAAATGGGTCAAAACTGACCAGTCGTATTTCCCTATATAATCTTTGTATTTTATGGGAAAAACAGAGGGTCATTTCAAAACGGATTTTAGGGCACTTACCCTCTTTACATCTGGCTAATTTTTTGCATGCTCTTTGGTAAATGGCTTGACCTTTAGGAAAAACTGTCGGTTTCACTCAAAGCCCTCGACGAGGGCTAAAATGTGACCGCGAGTGAAATTCTCTTTATATGAGCTCTATTACGAAAAACATTTTCCTCCGACGACCCCCCCTTGAAATTTTGTGAGGTGGTAGGAGAAAGCCTTGGGGTGTCATAAAAAACTCGGCATATCTGGGAAAACTTCGTAAAGGGGTCAAAACTGACCAGTTGTATTTCCCTATATAATCTTTGTACTTTATGGGGAAAACAGAGGGTCATTTCAACGCAGACTTTAGGGTACTTAAACTCAATATATCTGGCTAATTATTTGCATACGTTTAGGTCAATAGCTTGACCTTTAGGGAAAACTGTCGGTTTGACTCAAAGCCCTCGACGAGGGCTAAAACGTGACCGCGAGTGAAATTCTCTTTATATGAGCTCTATTACGAAAAAAAAATTTCCTCCGACGACCCCCCTTGAAATTTCGCGAGGTAGTAGGAGAACGCCTCGGGGTGTCACAAAAATCTCGCCATGTCCGGGAAAATTCGTTAAATGGGTCAAAACTGACCAGTTGTATTTCCCTATATAATCTTTGTATTTTATGGAAAAAACAGGGAATTTCCAAAACAAGTTTTAGGTTACTTAACCTCTGTACATCAAGCTAATGTTTTGCATACACTTCTATAGATGACTAGGCCGTATGGAAAAACTGTTGGTCGGACTCAAAGCCCTCGAGCAGGGCTAAAAGATGACCGCGAGTGAAATTCTCCTTATATGAGATATATATAAATAAATTGACGAACGATCCCCTTAATATTATTTGAGGTCATAGACCGACCCTGGAGGGTAACAAAAAAAACGTTATTCCCTTCGGAAAAAGCCATTGTAGTCGTTAAATATGTTCATATACAAAATTTTTTACATAAGCATAGTAACTGTTTTTAAAAAAAGTAAACAAAACAATACGTCATTCGGTCCATTTTCAAGGGAGGTAACCTTTTTAATAATTATTTTTTAATAATTATTTTTCAAATAATTGTATACTATTTTAAACAGAAACAGAAAACGACAAAGTATAACATTTGTTGTTAAAAAAAATAAGTTGTTAATTAAGCTACGTATCATAATTAAATAAAAAAATCAATTTTTAAAGTCAATGTAATATAAATTATGCGCTATACTTTTAATGGAACCTCTGTATTTCTAATTCCATTTTAGTTGGAAATTGCGTACTTTCTAATTTTTGCTCTGAAAGCGATTGTTAAACAACATACAACATCTTCTCTAAAATAAGCATTACTGTTTAAATTTAAGCACTCCACACCTCATCCATCACCAAATAATTAGTATTCAAATTATCAAATGTTTTTTGAAAACCTAAGCGAAGCTAGGCAGTATGCCTAGTATATATATATATATATATATATATATATATATATATATATATATATATATATATATATATATATATATATATATATATATATATATATATAAATTTCCAGTTTGTGCCCAAGACATATGGGGCAGATGAATTAAAGTTCATGCGCCTCAGAGACTTCAGCGTAAGAAAGGATAGTGTGGTCAGCTTTATACCAAGACACCTTAGTTTTCCCCGAGTTAGGTACCCATAAGAGCTGGGTAGACGCATGGGATAATATATATATATATATATATATATATATATATATATATATATATATATATATATATATATATATATATATATATATATAACGGTCAAAGCCCGAAGTGCGGCCAAAGCGCGGATTGGCCGGCCAATCCGCGCATTGGCCGGCTCTCTTGGCCAAAGCCCGAAGAACTTAGCACTAAGATCATATTTCGTACATTGGCCGGCCAATGCGCGCACTGGCCGGGACGTACTGGCCAAAGTCCGAAGCGCTTAAACTTGACAGCGTATTTTGTACATTGGCCGGCCAATGCGCGCACTGGCCGGGATGTCCTGGCCAATGTTCTATCTAGATTAAGTTGTGATCGCATTTTATTATTCTGGGTGCGTTTTCATTGAGAATAACGTATTGTTTAGCTCTTGTTTGTATAGCATTCTATATTCAAGGCGACATGGATCAAAAGTGCCGTCAAACCATGAGACAGATATAGCAGATGGCTGTCAAAAGAAAAAAATGTAAATCCGTGTTAGTTTCCATATATGGGCTCTCGATAAAATAGTTACTGAAGAAGATCTTGAGAACATTGAACAAGAAATGGAGGTTGCCATAAATGCAACGACATCCTCAGCTAACACATCTACTGCCGTGGCGGAACGTCCAGACCAGTTGCGTGACAATAATGTGTCCAACAGATTCTATATAGTTTGTGAAAAACATTGTAGTGCAGCTCATTCTTTTGGATCCTGTGGCAACGATGTCCATGCTATTTGTGGAATACCCAATGAAGCAGACGAAGGGTACGGAGGGAACATTACCTGCAGATTGTGTCACAACAAACAAGATATCATGGAACACAGGTCAGCAGCTCTTACTAGCTTGCAAACTCAAGGTGCTAAGATGCTTAAAACATCAAATACAAAATTTAAAGATGGTGAAATGGGTGACAATGTACGCATCCGTTTTCCAGATGTTGACAGAGGTCACGGTGATCCCCGAAGCGTGATTGCAGTTGTCGAGGGCGGTTTCTACAAATTAGGAACGGAACATGGTGTTCTAAAACAACTGTATGCTAGAAGTGAGTTTTCAATTCTTCACGAAAAACTGATCTTATTGTCGTCAGTTGGCACTGAGGAAAATTCACTACGAACCATCGCATCTTCACAATCATTGACTGGGGACCAAGGCTACACTCGCTGCAATTGCACAACTAAGTGCACAACAAATCGCTGCAAGTGTAAAAATAACAAGCTGCTATATAATTCTAAATACCATAAAAGTTCAACTTGTTGTAACAAATGATGATATTGATAGATTGAGACTATAGTACAATAAAAAATTTGAATGTTTCTGTCATTTACTTTAATTAAAAATCAATAAAGACTTAATTCCATGATCCTTACGGCATAAAAAAAAACCAAAATCTGCTCATGATCTTCTAATTCGGACTTAGTCCGGTCGTCACTAGCCAGATGATCTTCTAATTAAGACTTTGGCCGGTCCCCCATGGCCAGTCCGCGGACTGGCCGGCCAAAGGCCGAAATCAAGAGCTATTTCAGACTTTGGCCGGTCCACCATGGCCAGTCTGCGGATTGGCCGGCCAAAGGCCGAAATCAAGCAAAGTTTCGGACTTTGACCGACTTATGGGAGGCGATATTGGCCAATGCGCGGATTGGCCGGCCAATCCTAGCATTGGCCGACTTCGGGCTTTGACCGTAACATATATATACTTATAATACTTAATTGTAATAACCTCAGAGATTAAAAGTGCTATTGCTCATGTAACTAACCTACGATGGTTATATTTAGCGAATCGCTTGTGCTGGATACACCGTTGTACGCTGAGGTGCAGGTGAAGACGCCATCGTGTGTAGAGGATGAAGCATTGTGGAGTATATACGAAGCTGTTTGGGTTGTAGTGTTTACACTGTTTCTATAATTTGTAATATACATATAATGATGAAACTTGGTAAATCCTCCATAACATTGATTCATATATATATATATATATATATATATATATATATATATATATATATATATATATATATATATATATATATATATATATATATATATATATATATATATATATATCAAAGCGTATTTGTGGGTGTGTGGGCTCGTCCTTTATGTATTTTCTTGAGGCACCGCAAATGCGAAATAAAATAAAAAATGTGCAAAAACCTACCAAGCAGTTTTAAAGAGATGGGAGAGTAGTAAAGCGTAAATAATAATCAAACCCACAAAGCAATATATATTCCATACAAAACTTGTTATGAAATACACAAACTTAGAAATTATAGCTTTGTTGTATCATCTTACTTTGTCCACAAGTAAGTCCACCCAACCGTTTCACTTGAGCCAGAATTACAAAGGAGAGTGTAGTCACATCCTGCACCGTAGAAAGTTCCAGAAGGCACACGGGTTATACTGGGTTTCATAACTGTTGGAATGTTAATATACAGCTTTCTAAAGCTAATATAGGCATAGAGTATCTAGGGTACTTAAAAGAATAATAATGTACGTAATTATGTAAAGGAAAATGTTTGTTTTTTAATGTGTTGAATTTAGAAAAACATCGTTGACATGCAAGACAGAATTATATTTTGACAACACAAAACTTACTAGCAACAAATGACGCTTCTGCCGTAATGTAACGACTCTTTACAACACAACATTTGTACACTCCGATATCATCCAATGAGAAATTGTCCACCCGGAATGTCTGGCTCTGTTGATTTTGGGGCACTTTGTCCTTTATTGTCCATTGAAAAATGTCAGCTACAGTTGTTTCATCGCCACATGATAAAACAAGGGTAGATCCTATGGATAACTCGTCAGGATTTTGTTTATATATGACAGGGTCGGGAATATATTTGTTTCCTGAAATATAAATTACAAAAAAATGCAATTTCAAAAAACTAATAAATGCTTCAAGAAAATCCACAGGACTTTCAAAACCACAAACAATATTTTAAATTCCTTATTCAGAAAATTGTTACGACCTGGCAATTGTTGCTGTGAATTTGGATTAATTATTTGACGACAATGACTTTGTATTTTCCGTGGCCTTTTTGTAAATATTAAAAAATATTATATTATAAACTTTTAACTCTTACAAAAAAAATGTCGAAAAAGGGAAACACGTCTTTTTTGTTACAAACTAACTACATAAATTATACGTTTGAATACCTACAAATAATATATGGGTATACACATTTAGTATAGAATTAAACAAGGTAGATCTATATTAAAATGCATATTTCCCCCCTTTGTTAAATTTACTTTGTTATTTACTCATGTACATTAGGAAAGGAGTAAAACTTACTAAACGAAATGTTGCTGCTTGGCAATGAATATGTTGTAGTCCCATCATATGTAACACTACAATTGTATGTTGCACTATGTTCAGTAGCCGTATCTATTGTGTAAGTATTTGAAATACCATCTTGCAAGGAAATTTGACCGTTCTGTAAAATCAAATGAGAATGTTTACATTCAAAATATACTGATATAAACACACAGTGGCGTAGGCAGGGGGGGGTTAGGGGGGGGTCATAACCCCCCCCCCCCATAGACCCCTCGATATATATAAAAAGTTTGAGGGGGGGGGTGCAAATCGAAAGTTTGAGGGGGGGTGCAAATCAAAAGTTTGAGGGGGGGGGGGGTGCAAATCGAAAGTTTGAGGGGGGGGGGGGGTGGAAATCGAAAGTTTGTCCGCGGGGAAAAATTGAATCCCCCCCCCCCCTTGAGACGATCCTGGCTACGCCACTGTAATCACAAGTAATATAGATTCAGATTTGTTAGATTGTTTAAGAGATTAAAACTAAAATCATGTTTTAGTGTTTTGTAATTTGGCAGAATACATAAATAAGTATTGACTGTTAGATGAGGATTTTTGACGTATACAAAATGATACTAAAGTGCGATATATTTTAAAATAAAATTAGGTCGGATAAATCAGATACCAGTTCATAAGCAAATCAACTACAAATCAACAAACAAATCAAATTAGATTGTGTTGCTAAAACTAAGCTCATGCAACGGATATTACAAAAATATACCCAAAACTCGTATCTCATATGTTTTGAGCTGTTTATATTTTCCAGTTCTGGGGTCGTCGTGCAGGTGAGATTTGGACCGTCTACTCCAACATTGTAGGTTGTGTCTGTAGTTAAATGACCAAGCGGGTCCGTCACAATCAGGGTAGCGGCTTTTGATGTGTATGTGAACAATATTCTTATTAATAAGAGATTACAAAAATGTAAACAAAATAGATACTTAAACGCAAACGCTAACGGAAGCCAGATTTCATTAAAACATACATAGTCTTGCACATTTAATAGTGTCGAATCCCCCACTAATTGCCAAAAATAAAAATAAAACTCTGATCAGTATATTTGTGTAAAAAATGAATAAATAGGCTCATCTCATATCTTTGGGATACCGTTTGAGATTTTAAAGTCTAAGTGTTGTAGTGTCTAAGTGATAAACATTTAAAATTAACTAACAAATAATTGATATAGGTAGGTTATCGCTTGTGCTTGAAACACCGTTGTATGTTGTGGTACAACTGTAGACGCCATTGTGTATTGCGGCACTTGCATTAGTAATTGTGTAAGATTGAGTTGCGGAACCACTAATGACGTTACTATTTCTGAAAAGAGAAAAAAAATATTTTTGGAATTGTTAATAAGTATTGTAAATCGAGACAAGTTGAGTAACTTCCATTTTTTCACCTTCTCGTATACAAAGTATAGAAGAACTATTTTTAATCGTGAAAAAAAAATCGAGATTTTTATAAATCTGTACGTTTTACACCTCACTGAGTCAGAAAAACATAGTTTTGCAATTTTGTTCGTATGTTTATGTGTGTGTATGTGTGTGTATGTGTATGTATGTGAACACGATAACTTGAGTACCTTTACAGCTAGTTTGATGAAATTTCTTATAAAAGTATTATATTATTGCAGTTCTGTGTCAACGTATCGGTAATTTCCGGTAACCGGAAGTGAAACTTATTCTACTTTCACATTTTACAAAAGCCTATAACTTGAGTTATATTTCAGATAGATAAATAAAATTTCACACGTAAGTAAAAAATGTAATTGTCTGCCTTATGTCAAATTTTTAGGAATTCCCGTTAAACGGTAGTAGTAATTTAAGCTACTTACCATTTTCTTAAAAAAACGCATGTGAATTTATGAAGTACTAATAATATTCCGCACTATTATACGCATATTGTTTGGCGTTCACTTAATGCGCAATTCTTTTTTCTATGAGATTCTATCCTATTTTAAAAAGTTTAAGTAATTAAAAATCATGTCTATATTCCGAGTTGCCATCCCCCGTAGTGTTATATTAGAATATTCGGAAAGTTTACGGGAGATCACTCCGGGTTAATTTAATTTAAGGGTATGTTCAATTTTGGGAACGCGGATTTTTGAACAAAGGTTCTTTGTGAACCTATGATCAAACATCCTATGGTCAAAACCATGCTCTTGTTGAAACCACTATGGTGAAAGTACCTAGGACCCAATTTTGTTTTTCAAACGCTTATAAAAAATATAGAAACACATCATCTTTACTCTCTCAAGACTTATTTATGTTTATATTTTTAAAATATTGAAGATTTATACGTGAAAATTTATTAGATAGCAAACATATTTGTTTAGTCTTTGTTTCTCCCGGACTTGAAATTTTCGGGGGGACGGGGACGGACGGACAATGAAATAAATATATATTCTCTATATATATTATATTTTGTACGCGGGGGTGGGGCTGCAGAAATGCACAGCCCCCTTACATCCCACCGCACCCCCCCCCCCCCCCGAAGTGATGCCTGAAATTAATTTTTTAAAATCTACGCGATGGTGTCTGTCTTTTCTTATAGATTACTTTTTCATTGACTTACACCTAAATACCTTTATAATAACGTACTAGAAAAGGACTAGCATGCAACAATGCATTGGTTAAAAGATGCAGTTATGAATTAAAAGCTTACTTAGTCCAAGAGTAGCTCCACCCAGTTGATAAGCTTGAGTAAGTACTACACCTTAGAATATAAGTACCGCCTGCTCCATAGAATGATCCAGAAGGTTCACGAATGATCTGTGGTTTTATACCTATGACAAAGTTATTTTTTTTAAATCAATTATGTTCTATATTTTCAATTAAAATACATATTTGTCTTTTTTCTTTAAAATGCTCAACCAGGAATCTGATTCTCGCAACCCTAAAGTGGAATCTAATTGTAATTGTTACTTTATATATTAGAGCTGTCATTATATATCGAATATGTTATTTTCCTTTTTATTTGTCTCGGAAAAGTTTGCAGCAAAAATATAAAAAAACAACAACAATCGTTTGAAACACGAAATAAAAACGAAGAAATTAGAAATTAATTTAAATATTTATTATTTATGTAAAGTGGATATCCGATGTTTTTTTTTAAAATATTATTTTGTAAACAACTATATTGATAAACAAAAGCTCTAACAAAAATAGATGTAAAAAGCAATAATGTTCATGTCATAAATGTAATATAAAATACGATAATCACATATACATTGGTTTGTCATGTTATATGTTACTTATTTAATTATCACATTCAGTAGCGCATTAAATTGGTTACGAGCTTCACATATTTTTGTATTAACACATTTTATTTACTGTTTACAAAATTAGATCATTAAACATTATTTGATACATCTGTGAAAAAAACAATGTACGCGTAAAACGGGACTGACAAAACTTACCGGCTGTAAATGTTGCATTTGCCGTCGTGTATCGGCTCTTTACAGCCCGACACTTGTAAACGCCAATGTCACGTTCAGTAAAACGGGAGCGCTCAAGTCTTTTATTGCTTTGATTTTCAATCATTGTTTCATCAAAAAACCATTGATAAAATTCTGCGTGGATCGTTGTATCTCCGCAAGACAAAGTAAGGTTAGATCCTAAAGTAATATCTCCAGGACTTACTTTCATTATTGAAGGGTCAGAGATAAAGTTGTTACCTAAACAGAAAGTATGAAAGTTATATTCCTTATACTTTGATAATACATATATTTATAAATCGCAAAAAAAAAACACCATGTATAAAACATAAAATAAACTTACTGAATGCTATTCTGGGACTTTGTGACGAGTATGTTGTTGACAAGTCATAAGTAACAGAACAACTGTATGTCGAGTTACTTGGTACATTTTTGTTTAACGTGTAGGTGTCAGAGGGACCTTCATCAATTGATGATGTATCGTTCTGTAAATAACCCGCTTAAGTTAGAATACTGAATTTAGATAGTCAAGCACATACAGCTTAACACTCCACACAGTTTTATCTGTGTCTGTATCCTCCGGGTATAACGGTATGATGAGGAAAGTATTTTACCAACTAGTGTTGTTGGGCATTATTTAAAAATTTTATACTGCTTATGAATAAATTTAGCTTAAGAATATGTTTAAAATCTTCATAACAGTAAGCTTTTAAAATTGCTAAAAATAAGTAAATCACTGAATCTTGCTTTCTATAGTAAAAATATCTCTAACACGTTTCAGAGACCAATACTTAAATTAAAGAAATTATGTTTTTTGTTATCTTATTTCTACTGCATCTAAAAGCTTTTTTTCATAAAGTACTTTAATATTTTTATTTTATTTTTCTACTTTCCAGTAATGATGGAATTCGAGTACTAAAAAGTAAAGCATTAAAAACACGTAGCAGTAACCTTAAAAAAAACGTTTGCATTATTTTCTCGCTTACTAAATAGAAATAGTTGCTTTAAAGATAATTGTCTGCCGCTTATAGTTTGTGGTCTTGGCGTACAAACCAGATATCCATGAAAAAAAGACCATTGTCTTCAAATCGCTAGTATTTATTCTTGTTATCTCCGTTATAGTAGATTTAATGTTAAAGCCTAATTTAAGTCTAATCAGAACAATCAATGCAAATCCTTTGCAAAATTTAAAGCATAAAAAAAGTACAAAAAAACAGCTTATAATAAAGAAATGTAAAGGAAAAAAAGAACAAAAATGAATTTGTCTAGATAGGATGAATTTATCTTCTTGCTAAAATAAAAATACAACCACGATTAAAAATAATATATATATATATATATACTTCATGTTTTATCAACGCACTTACCATAAATGTGTATGTCACTGTGTTTTCACTAGGTAATTGTGAAGTTGTCCCACAGGTAAGTGTTGGTCCTTCAGCTCCAACATTATAAGTTGTGTCAATAGAAATTGGACCATGGGAGTCCTCTACGATCAGAGTTGCAGCTGCAGGAATGAGAAGTTATTTAAAAACTTGATCGATCGTTTGTAATTATATAGTGTTGTGGAAATGTGAATGTAGTGGCAAAATAAAGTGTGGGGCTTTAGTAATTGTTACTTATATCCACTCTACCCATTGTAGTTATTTGAAACTTAATCATAGTGTTTCGACTTTTTTGAATCACGCATGATAAAGGGTAAGATTGGCAAGAGTTCGAGTGTGAGAGAGTATGCAATGAGAGAATGGTCGTTTATATGTTATTAAGTGTAGCCTAAATAGAAAATGTGCCATGCTTGTGGTTGTTTTAGTATGGGATGTTTTGGTGCTAGATAGATTAAACACAGAGATGAATATATATATATATATATATATATATATATATATATATATATATATATATATATATATATATATATATATATACATATATATATATATGGATATATATATATGGATATATATATATATATATATATATATATATATATATATATATATATATATATATATATATATATATATATATATATGTATATATATATATATGCATGTGTGTGTGTGTAACTACATACGACATAATATATAAATAGCGAAGCACTTAGAACACTAAACAACTAACCTACGACTATTACAGTTAGGTTATTGCTTATACTTGAAACCCTGTTGTATGTTGAGGTACATGTGTATGTCCCATCATAGGTTGCCGCTGTTGCGTTGGTAATTTGATAGTTGTCAGCATGAATGTTGAGGTCTCTACTTTCCCTTAAATAGAAACAATCCAGATTATTTTATCAGCGAATGTATATATTCAGTAATAACTCTTCAACACGTTGTTTTCTTTATATACACCGTTTCTTTTGTCAGTCATAAGAAAAATGTACACTTTACTTTCTATGTTTCCTTTTCATAATTTGTTGTACAATACGTATCGTCTTATATTTTTGTACTGATAAAAATTGTAAAAACGATGTCTATTTATTTGGTATTTACAGAGATATCTATGCTCGACAATCTTACTTTGCCCATGCGTAGCTCCAACCAATAAGTGCATTAGATCCAGAATTACACTTAAGAACGTAGTTACCGCCTGCACCATAAAATGATCCCAAAGTTTGACGGTTGAGCGTAGGTTTCATAACTGTTGGATGAAACAGATAATTTTTACAATTTACACTGATTTAATTATAATTAATTGTTAATTATCTTTAAAAAAATGTTTTCTCTTCTCAATGTGAGATTACACTTAGCACATAAAGATGATGCACCTATGTAAGACTTTTGAAGAAAAATCAAATAACTTGCTTACAATATTAACATACCCTTATTGAAAACGTTTTTTTTTTTTTTGCAGAACATAGATGTATTTGTCTTATTTAGGATAAGTCACCAAGAAAATCCCCTGACTATTTGGACCGAATGCCTCTTGTAAAAGATTATTGTTAGGTAAATATAGAAAATAAAACAGAGAGCTCTGAACTGCCGGGTCTCATGTCTAGATTATATAAACGTCCAACCTAGAAATTTGTTTCTAAATGAAAACAGAAAATCTTACCGGCTGTAAAAGTCGCATTTGCCGTTCTGTAACGGCTTTTGATAGCCCGACATTTGAACACTCCAATATCAGCCTCAGTGAATGGTGCACGTTGGAGTTCTTTAGTGCTTAGGTTTTCAATCAAAGTTTCATCGAAAAACCATTGGTAAAAGTCTGCGTTAAGTGTTGCATCCCCGCATGTTAAACTGAAAGTGAACCCTAAAGCTAAATCTCCGGGACTTGTTTTAATTATAGTAGGGACAGCGATGAAGTTGTTACCTGAAAACAAAATTGGTATTTTAAATTCACGTTTTATAAGTTTTAAGTCAATTAAAAGTTACAGTGAGTTTTATAAAAAAAAATTCAATTAATATATCGTATGTTTTTTGTTTGTATCTCGAATTTCAAATGTTTTACACTATCTTTATCACTGTTGTCTACATTATTTTTTTAATAATGCAAAAGCGTCAACAATTATATAAAATAACGAAATGATCAAATATGGTCAAGAAACTAATCATGAATGTTACCATTTTATTATGCTATATAACTAATTTAGTTCTTTAAGATATGAATAATAAATTACTAAATCATAAATGTGAATGCATTCGTTTTTTTTTTCTTATTTAAACATATATTAAAATAATAAATAAAAAAATACTAAAAGCGTCAATTACATACTGAATGTTATTATGGCGCTAGTTGGCGAATATACGGTTGACCTATCATATGTAACACCACACTTGTATGTTGAACTACTTGGTAAATTGCCATTTAATGTGTAGGTTTCAGAATAACTCGCGTGTATTGATGCTGTATCGTTCTGTAAAAAAAACATTTCAATTATGCAATTCAAGAAAAAGATAGATTTTTTTTAAAAATTTGGCATTATTACAATTCTTCTTTTTATACTCCGAATAAAAAAGAAAAACGGGATTATAGATGCTTTATTTTAATAATGTTTAAGATTTTAAAAAATGTCTGAAATTTATATTCGAATTCAGTTTATCTTCCTTTTAACACTAAACTAGAAGTTGATATCTTGGACATTACAATTGTTCTTTTGACAGTCTCCACACATTATATACATATTAAATATTAATGTTTAAATATAAGTTAAAACAAACCCAAAAAGTACTTGCTAGAGTATAAAGCGAACACATAGATTAAGAATTCCGCTGTGATTGGGCATTGACGACAACTCCATGCGATAATATACACTTTATACGCCTCAGCTTAGTTTATAATTTAGTCTAATATTAACATTCTATTTCACCCCTGTCATACAATGATCTCCTTTATTTAAAAAAAAAACATTTTCTACTTAATCTGTTAATGATGCTTCTAATTAAAAGTTTATTTCAAAAATATGTATAGTTAGAGTCACGTCAAATGCACAAACCCGGAATGTGTATGTCACAGTGCTTGCATTAGCCAATGGTGGAGTTGTCGTGCATGTAAGAGTTGGTCCGGCACTTCCAACATTATATGTTGTGTCTGTGAGAATTGGACCACCAACGTCAGATATTGTCATGACAGCAGCTGTGAAAAAACAATTGATGAAATGTATCTTTATATTATATTATATTATATTATATTATATTATATTATATTATATTATATTATATTATATTATATTATATTATATA